GTGGTTTCTTGTGTAACAATTTCAAAATGTATCAAGTTTCTTCTTTAATTTTCACTCATATTTTCAGGACTTTTAAATAAGCTCTGAATAAACAAATGTCACAACTTTTAATTACAACACATTGGCAAATATCGTCCAGATCATCCGATTAGTATTACCACTTGTATACTTGGAATGTAACTGTACCTTCAGTATAATCTTGTTGTTATTCTCCACCTCCAGAACGCTGGTCGTCGACACCGGAGGCGGGGGCCTGTACTTGGGCAACGGCGCCACCGCGGGGTCCTGATAAGCCGGCGGCGGTGGTGCCGGTTTCCTGTTCCTGTGGCTACACTTCCTCCCAGTCTCCTCGGTCGGGTGATCTATGTCCAAGACGGGGGCAGAGTGCGGCCTCCTTCCGTGCCTGTCCTTCCTCTTCTCCACGCGTTGCTCCTTCTTCGGCTCGGACATGGCCGTCATCACCTTGTAGAACATCTCGTTGGTCAGCTCTTGCATCTTGTCCTCGCTGTGCGGCCTCCTGTGCTTCTCCTGCGCCTCGCCGTAGCCCGCGACACCGTTCCGCGGACTCTTGACCTGCGGGGCTGGCCTCTCCTCCCTCCGTCTCGGTCGTTCTCTTCGAAAGTCGCCGTACTCGTTCCGATCCACCTCGTCCACCAATCGTTCCGTGCTCTTCGGCCTCCTCGTCATCCTCTCCGGCTCTCCGTGCGTTCTCCCGCTGGTGCCGTTCGTTCGATAGAAGAAAGAATCGGTGGTCGTCGACGAGTAGTTGGACTTTTTGTAGAAAGGGTCGGCCATCATCGTCGAGTGGCCACCGCCGTTCATCGAGTCCTGCATCTCCCGATTCCGCTGGTTCAACCCCGAACTGGTTTTGCCGATCGTGTGGTACCTGCGAGACTCCAGCCCGTTCGCCTGACTGTACTTCCCTCCTGACTGATGCGCCTGTTTGCGCGAGTTGCCGCGATACGTCACCCGGTCCAGCGTGGCCGTGTGAAGGGGCTGTTGCTCCGGCGGCAGGAACGTGTCGCCGTTGACGTTCGCCTTCCCTGGCAGAAAGCTGTTTTGGTCGTTGGCGGTCGACAACGGTTGACGCGTTGCCAATCGGTGACTGCGTGGCTCCAGTCGAATCCTCCTCGTATCCAGAGAATGGTAATCTGCAAGACAGTGGGTCAACGGTGAATTTAACAAGGAACTTCCCTCTGCGAGCTATGCGAGTCGTCTCTCTTCTCTGAACGCTAACCGATTCGTTACAAAACTAGCCACATTTTTGTTGCACACATTTGGTGTAATTTTGTGGAAAGATACTTCTCACGTATACACTCCTGCTCAAAAGTCTTGAGACACTTTTATTTTTAATATTCGGTACTTATTGTGTAGTATACATATTACAACAAAATAAATACAATGGAATATATAATAATATAATGATACAATATATCAGTATATTATACATTATACAGTATATTAGAATAGAGACTGTTTTATATTTGTTGTATTTAATTATGGTGCATCATGTATATTGTGTTGTGTAATTTATAATTTATATTTATTGCATCATTTTTATTATACAAATATACCAGTTGTCTTAAGATTTCTAAGTGGCAGTGTGACGTATTTTTGTAATCCACAATTGGACCGCGGTCTCAACAATTGACTATTATCATGTATAAAAAAAAAAAAAATATTACAGTTGTCATATTTCATTTAAAAAAGTCGATACGAAGATGCAAGAGAAAGAAACAGCAGAGCGTGGAAGTGGCTCGTTGGCTGCCAATCTAAATAATATTTTACCGACATATTTTCCACAACTATGTTACAAAAGAGAAACAGATATCGCAGAATGTCAGCAAGAAGGTGATTCCCAAGAGACGTTGTGAAATTTATAGTCAAGTATAGACCAACGCGGAGAAGAATGAGCCCACACCAAGTGTGAGTGTGATGAAATGTGAAAACTTGAAGAAGGAAAATTAAACGAAGCATGTATTACATTCTCTCTCTCTCGAGAGAGAGAGAGTTTTTCTACCATTCTCTCTAGAGAGTTCTACCACCTCTCGTTAGAGAACGTTAGACAGTTTTCCCTATACAGAGTTATCTGTTTCAATTGTGCGCACTGCGCCGTGAATTACCGCGTCCTACCAACACTAAAAATCAAGAATCTACATCTAGGACTCGTGAACTTTCACTCTTACAGAGAGCGTTCATCTAGGGAAAAGAACGTCTACCTTCGACGACATTTGGAGCCTTGTTCTCGTTCCAGCAGTCGGTCATCTGACCGTGGTCGATCGTGCCGAGGCACGTGGGCACCGCGAGCGTCTGCTCGCAGGACTTGCTCGACGGCCTGTAGCCGGGCAGCTGCCCACCGGGCGGCAGTTCGGGAAACATGGCAGCGAGTAGCGAGGTTATCGAGGTGTTGTGTGGGTCAGCCTGTTGCCTGGGCAGCACCAACATCTGCGTGGACTTGGCGCGTGGCAACGGGACCACCGGCGTCGAGCCTAACGTTGGATTCGGCGCGGAACAGGCTTGCTGCCCCGAAGGAGGGAAAAGCGTGCTACTGGACGGTGGTGTCGACCTCTGCCTTCCTCTCGACGGGACGGTCGCCGGCGGGGTGGCGTTCCGCGTGCCGCCCCTCTGCCTCGGGAACAGCTGCGTGGACACCGACCGAGGCAGAGTCTTCGGCGAGGTCCTCGGTTGAACCGGGGCGATCTCCGGGCCGAGTTGATCCAAGGACTTGCTGTGCCTGGCAGGAAGCGTGGAGGGAGTGAGCGTCAATCGGCCTTGCACCGAGCCGATGTCCTGCGCCGCGCCTTCGCTCCTCGGCGACCAAATTCCCATCGATCGGGACTCGAGGATCGCCGCTATGCCGCAGCTGCAGTCGTCGATGCCGGGCACTGCAAGAAGAATTAATTCCCGTTCGAATTTCCAATTGTCCAGAAGCGTTCGACCAAGTCCAGACGGACAAAAGATTTACACCCGATTCTTAATAATAATTTCTGCATCTGATGTTTAACAGAATCTGATGTTAGTCAGAAGACAGTAATAATTTCCCCAGCCGTCAGATACTCACCGCTGTTTCGGTGCCTCTGTTTCATATCCACGTACTGATCCTCGAAGATCAAAGGCAGAGAATGAAGGTCGCCGTCCAATTCCGGACAGTGGACAGGCAGAGGTGGCAACGAGGCCAGGTATCGCGATCTTCGCGCCGCCTCGCTCACCGCCTGATACGACTGGTAGTTCGCGTCGTAGCAACCCCACGCGGACGTCCTGGGATTTTCCAACACGAAGAAACCTTCCGCGAAACGTTTCACCTATGATTTCGAATATTGCGACGCTCGTTTTTAGGATGAAGCTGAGAACGTTTCGCTGAGTGATGACGCGTTTGCAGAAAAAAAAAAAAAAAAAAAAGAAAAGAGAAAGAAAACGCAATGCGAATATTCGAATACTCCTGGTGGAAAATTTCGAAATTCTTCGTAGAATTGAATATGTACATGCAGGACGGAGCCGTTGGTCAAGAATTGGTTACAACTTATTTATTAACGAGATACTGGGTGTGCAGTGTGAAATTATGATATTTAATTGTGAGATTAAATTGAGTTATGGAATTAAAATGTTTGATGTAATGTAAAATTGAGAAGATACATGTATGTACGTGTATGTACGTAGAACATTCTTTTCAATTCTACACCGCATCTATTTTAATTTTACAATTCAATTGTATACATAATTACTGAACTCTGAAAAATAAAATTAAAAAGATATATGTGTATATATGTAGAACATTCTTTTCAATTTTTTATTGCATCATGTTATTACACACATATATACATATATATGATTATATATTTGATATACTATATATATTATAATTAAATAATATTAATTAAATATTAATTAATTAAATAATATTATATATATAATCTATTAATTGAATATATATATAATTAATATATATTACACATGTATAAATAATAAACGTTAAATATTCTATATACATATAGACATAATTAAGAAATTTGAAAGCAATAGAAAATTGTAAGACGGTAGATGATATATTATATATATTAATTAAATAATATTATATATATATTATAATTAAATAATATTAAAAAATAATATTAATTAATTAAATAATATTATATATATTAATTAAATATATATATAACATTATATATATATTAATTATATTTATATATATAATTACACATGTATAAATAATAAACGTTAAATATTCTGTATACATATAGACATAATTAAGAAATTTGAAAGCAATAGAAAATTGTGAGACGCTAGATGATATATTATATATATTAATTAAATAATATTATATATATATTATAATTAAGTAATATTAAAAAATAATATTAATTAATTAAATATATATATATGTATTAATTATATTTATATATATAATTACACGTATATAAATAATAAATAATAAATAATAAACGTTAACATATAGGCATAATTAAGAAATTTGAAAGCAATAGAAAATTGTAAGACGCTAGATGAAAAGAGACGTGTTACCCTCAGTTGATGATGGATCCTCGCGAGATGCTGATGAACGGCCTCGCGCCCGGAGAACGCTTCCAAAAAGTGCTGCCAGAGAACGATATTTTGTGCGCAGAGTTGAGCGATATCGGTTTCCTCCGTGTCCATCATCTGCAACTACGCGACCACTATTCTCCATAAAGAATTCGTCGCAAACGAAACTTATCACGTGTTAAATTAATCAATAATTCGACGCGTTTGAACATCGATGATTAACAACGCATCGAGTTTCAGTATCTTCTCGTTTCGTGACAATTTCGAAGAAACGTTACCACGTTCTTGGTTCGCTGCACAAGCACAGTCTCTCGGAAAGATTATTACGGCAAAGATTACAGAGGAAATAATTCTTAAGCCCGATTAGGAAGTCCTACCAGACACGGTCTATACTACTGATTTTATTACTTCTTACCACTCTTTACGGGCTTAGAGAAGTCTCTACGTCGAAACCAATACGTTTCATTTCTCAAGAGTCCAGTCTCAAAGAGAGTTACGAGGCAACGAACGTTCAGCAAAATGCGATTGATTTCGACGACGATTCGAACGGAAACGAGACGAGTCACGCGTTGAAAGAACATCGAATTAATTCGCTGGGGAAAGAGAGAAAGAGAGAGAGAGAGAGAGAGAGAGTGTGTGTGTGTGTGTGAAAGGTGAGAAACTTGGAGGCTGGGGTGCAGAACCGACCTTGGTAATTTCTTTGTGCGTGTTCTGAGCAAGCTCGAGCGCTCTTTGCTGGCAAGAAGGTAGCAGCCGCGCTAAATCAGCCAGGTCGTTGAGCAAAGATTCCCTCGCGGCCAAAAGTAACCTGATTACTTCCTGTTGAACCAGTTTCGCGTGCTGTATCCTCGTGGCCGAGCCGACGCATCTCGTCGTTGTTTCCTGCAATAATTACCAACTTGTCTCGCTTGTCGAGCACCAGCTTGTCTCGACGCGACGCGGCGCGACGCCGATTTAAGAGAAAGAAAAGAAAAGAAAAGAAAGAAAGAAAAAAAAAACGTGGGAGCGAGCGAACGCTCGCGACGTGGAGCGTGTGCGCTGGCTCGGCAATGCGGA